TTTAAGATACATTTATACATAAGTCAACAAACATTATTCTGTGTGAAATAGCATATTAGACAGCATTGATACCCTTTCTAAAATAGTGACAATTAATGGAAAATTAAAGATCAAATTTGATTTCTATATTTGATATACTGTTATTTAGTAATAGTAGCCAACCACCATAATCCTTAGTTTAAGGGACAATAACCGTTAGTGGTTGGATTTTAGAATTATATTTTTGTTTTCTTAAATTTGCTCTTATTTTTCAAAGGGACCCTAAACTGCTAATAATTTGGAAAAACTGAAGCCAGTTCTTAGAACTCCAGAGGAGTACCACAGAGTTAAATGGGCAGCAGAAGCACTTCACCTCTGCATAAACCAGGAACCACCATTTGAGCCAGAACTTCTGTCTTTATTCAGATCGTGGTAGTGTTCCATAATTGTTTGTTTGTTTTTGTTTTTTTCAAGACAGGGTTTCTCAGTGTAGCTTTGGAGCCTGTTCTACAACTCACTCTGTAGACTAGGCTGGCCTCGAACTCACAGAGATCCTCCTGCCTCTGCCTCCTGAGTGCTGGGATTAAAGGTGTGTGGGTAATTTCTAATGAAGGTTTTGTTTTGTTTTATTTGATTTTGTTTTTTGGAGACAGGGTTTCTCTATGTAGCCACAGCTGTCCGGGAACTTGCTCTATAGACCAGGCTGTCCTTGAACTCAGAGAATTGCTGGTGTGTGCCACCACCACCAGGCCCTCTAATGAAGTTTATAATCTGGGGCTGTCATATGCCAAAAACTAATTTATAGTACCCGAATACTGGTATTTGCAAATTGTTTTTTATGACCTTTTTTTGACATACCATGAATTAAGTGTTCTGATTTTCTCATATTTATTTGTTTGTTTGTTTTGTGCACTTAGAAGCCATTATGCATGTGTGGGGATCAGGACAACCTGTAGAAGTTGTTTCTCTTCTACTATGTAGGTTCCAGGAAACAAACTCGGGTCATCAGACTTTACAATAATTATTGCACCTTTACTGAGCCATCTTATTTGCTCAAATTATGGTTTTTATGTGATTATTTTTTTCCTCTTCCAAAACATCTTAAATCCCTGGATCAGCAGCTGTCTGTGTTCAGCTCAGCCAGGCATCATATTCACTCACTCATTACTGTGGACTAAGCTCTAACATGTGCAGGATATCAGAAAGCAGAGCTGAAGCGTGAAGAAAGCTGGCAGTCCACAAGTGTAGAACATCTGATGAAGTGCAGGTGCTCTCAATTAGAAAGGTGTCGGGGTGAGGGGTTGGAGTGTCTATCCTACTGCTGCAGTATAGACTATGAACAAGATGAACTTCACGGGGAAAAAGATTTGTTTGGCTTAGAGAGCCCAGATCACAGTCTACTGAGGGAGCCAAGGCAGAAACTGAAGCAGAGGTCATGAGGAATGCTGCTTACTGGCTTGCTCCCCATGGCTTACTCAGCCTACCATCTTTTTTTTATATATATATAAATATTTATCATTATCATCATCATTTTATATATATGGGGCGTGGGGTTCTCAAGACAGGGTTTCTCTGTGTAGACCAGGCTGGCCTCACAGAGATCTGCCTGCCTCTGCCCCCCAAGAGCTGGGCTTAAAGGTGTGCGCCACCATCACCCGGCAACCCAGCCTGCTACCTTATAACATCTAGGACCACCTATCCCATTGAACTGGGCCCTGGCACATCAAGCATTAATCAATAAAATGCCCCCATAGACTTGACTATAGAAGCATTTTCTCACTTGAGGCTCCCTTTTCCCAGATGATCCTGGCTTGCATAAAGTTGACAAAAAATTATACACACACAACACACACACACACACACACACATCAACCAGGACAAGTGATAAGAAGTTACTGTTTGAAATGAAATGATCAAGAACCACTTCACTGAATAGATAATATTTAAAAAGAGACCTGAATGAAGTAGAGGAAGGAGATGTGAAGACATTTGAGAAACAGAATTTCAGATAGAGGCCTTCACTTTCATTTGGTATTCTATATTCAAAAACAAAAATAACGATTTTATAAACCAATTTCACATAGTATAGTCCTTTGCTTTGTATTAAGAATACAGATCAGGGATGGAGAGATGGCTCAGAGGTTAAGAGCATTGACTGCTCTTCCAGAGGTCCTCACCTCAATTCCCAGCACCCCATGGTGGCTCCCACCATCTGTAATGAGATCTGATGACCCACATTGTGGGAAGAGAAGCGTCTCCCTCCAGTTGTTCTCAGACTCCAGATACACATCATGGTGCTTGAGCACCACTGCCAGGTAAATAAATGTAATAAAATTTATTTTTTAAAAAAAAGAATATAGACAAGTGGAGATAGCAGGTAACATTTTCAAAACATTTAATCAGGAGTAAACAGAATCATGAACAGTTTAAAAGACTTTGACAAATACTTTCTCATTAAAGTTGACAATAGGAAAGGCAGACAGTAGAAATGGAAAAGAAAATATACTCATTGAGTGATAAGGATAAAAAAGCAGTGTTTAAGCCTCATGGGTGGATAGAATATAGGGTTGAAAAAGAAGCAGTTATGTTGCCAGTTTTAGCCTGAAGGTTGTGAAGATAATAGGCTCTGATATCAGTGGAAAACTTGCTAGATACAGTGAAGCCATCAACCAGCATAGAGATGGCTGTCAGAGGAAGCAGCTGGAGACTGCTGTATGGTTTTTGTGGAGTCTTATCTAGCCAGAGAGAGAGGGTATCTAACCAAAGAAAGCATTCCATCCAAGTCAAGCTGGTCAGCAAGTGAAGTCACTGGGGTTGTATACAGGATCAATGGGCAACAGACGTGAAGAAATTCCTGCCCCAGTGGTGAATCTTGTGACCCTCCCCTTCTCAACTGGAGAATGTTAATAAGCCCTGAATTCAGTCCCTGGCAACACACACCAAACAAAAAAACCTGCCTCTTAGGACTATAGTGCTACAGTATGATGTACTGTTTCCTTTGGAAACTTAATATAGTTACTAATTAATAAAAAGTTGATAGACACTCAAGTAAAGGGTTCTTGCAATGTAGCCCTGACTTCCCTGGAACTCACTATAAAACAGGCTGATAACAACTTGAAGCTATCTTTTGTTCTCTGCTTCCTGAGTGTTAGAGTTGCATATATGCATCATGGCTCTGATTTTTGTTGTTTCAGGTTTTCGTTTGTTTGTTTGTTTTTGAAAGTCATGTTAGGGGCCAATGAGATGGCTCAGCAGATATAGGCACTTGCCACCAAGTCTGACAACCTAAGTTCAATGCCTAGGTCCATGTGATGGAAAGAACTGATCCCCCCAAGTTGTCCTCTGACTTCACACATACTGGCAGGTGATTGCACATATGCACAATAAATATAAAAAGGTTTAAAAGAAAAGGTTGGGCCAGCAAGATGCTTTTGTGGGTAAAGGCACTTGCCATCAAGCCTGAGTTCGATCCTAGAGACCCACATATGTTGTAGAATATTATTTTAAGATGTGTTACATTTGTTTATGCTGTGGAACATTTGTTTAATTATGCAAAGCTGTGTTGCATTTTTTTTATGTTGCATTTGTTTTAACTCTGTGAAGATGTGATTCTTTGCCTGTCTAAAATACCTGATGGTCTAATAAAGAGCTAAACTGGCTAATAGCAAGACAGGAGAAAGGATAGGCAAGGCTGGTAGCCAGAGAGAATAAACAGAAGAAGTCTAGGAAAAGGAGCAAGAACAAGGAAAGGAAGACACCAGGGGCCAGCCACCCAACCACACAGCCAGCCATGGAGTAAGAGTGAAAGTAAGATTATTGAAGTAAGAAAAGGAAAGAGCCCAGAGGCAAATGGTAGATGGCATAATTTAAGAAAAGCTGGCAAGAAACAAGCCAAGCTAAATGCTGGGAATGTATAATTAAGAATAAACCTCCATGTGTGGTTTATTTGGGAGCTGGGTAGTGGGCCCCCCAAAGGAACAAAAACAACCAACAACACACATAGTATAAAGAGAATACTGGCTCACACAAGTCCTGACCTCCACATTTGTGTAATGGCACATGTATATGCACATACACACACTAAATAAATAAACATGTATTTTTAAATTATGTGATAGGTATAACAAAAGTTCAACCCCAGAACACACATAAAAAGCTAAACATGGTGGTTTGCACTTGTAATTCCAACACTGGGGAGATGGAGACAGGTACGTGGTGCTCCCTGGCCAGCCAACATAGCCTTACTTGAAAATTCCAAGCTAGTAAAGAGACTGTCTCAAAATGAATGACACTGGAGGTTTATTGGTGGCCTCTCTATACACACACACACAGTCATTTCATACAGTGATGAGTTGGTCATAGTGGCAGGCACCTGTAATCCCCAAGCTCCTCATAGTAAAGCTGTAGAATCTCTTGAGTCCAATTTGGGTAACAGTGAGACCTCTTCTTAAAAAAAAAAAAAGAAAAGAAAGAAATCACAAAAAGTTGGGTAGAGAAAACAGGATATTAACTTAAAAAAAAAAAAGGGAAACTTTCTAAGAAGTAGAATTTGAATTGCTTCTTAATATAGAGAAGTCATGTGAACCTGACTTAGGGATGACAACAAAGGGGAGAGGCAGACTTGAGAAGAAGCAGTTTCATAAGTGGATGAAGATAAACGGGATAAACAGTGAAAAGGTTTAGATTTTTTTTTCTGTATGTGCTAGGAGCACTGAAGAACACCATGTTTCGTAAAATCTACATCGAGCAGTTGCCTGCTAATATTTTTTAATTGTGGCTATAAAATTCCCATAATTGCCAAGAATTCATAAACTAGAAGAGACGATGCTAAAAAGTAAAACACGGGCTGGAGAGATGGCTCAGAGGTTAAGAGCACTGGCTGTTCTTCCAGAGGTCCTGAGTTCAATTCCACAACCATCTGTAATGAGATCTGGCTCCTCCTTCTGGCCTGCAGGGATGCATGCAAACAGAACACTGTATACATAATAAATAAATCTTTAAAAAAAACCACACAAAATGTGTAGATAATTAACATAAATTTTAATAAAATATTGAGGGGCAAACATATCACCAGATGCCAAGAAAATGGCTTACAAAACTCAGTGTACATAATGTCCTTAATTTTGCAAATATAATAAAAAATTAGAAACAGGCTGAAGAGGTGGCTCACTTGGCGCTCTTGCAGAGGATCTGAGATGGGTTCCCAGCACCCACATGGTGGCTTATAACCTGTAAACCACAGTACCGGGGGATCTGACACCCTCTTCTGACCTAAGCAGGATCCTGAATGCATATGGTGTACACATAAATAGATCTTTAAAGTATTAGAAACAACACTGGAGGCATGGCCGTCAAAGTCAGGAACAAAATAACCACCATTATTCAAAACTCTGGTGGTCTTCTTATCAATGTATGAGATTAAAAGGGGATGTCAGAAAAACAAAAACATTTGCAGATGACCACCCAAACCACTTATTACAAAACAATTAGGATTTACAAATGAGCATGCCAATCATGCTTCATCAGGAAATAGCTGTCTTCTCCAGGAGTCCAAAGCTGGCTCATCTCACATTTCCAGGCTTTGAATAGCTAAGCCAGCAGTGAGTTTGTCCCATTCCTGTAGTCCATAATAGGGTTAAATATCTGCTCCCAAAGAGTACAAGTCAATAAAGTTATAAAGCCCTCTAACTGAACACTTTGAAAACCTAATCCAAAGTATACTCTGACTTCCCAATACCACATGCTAGCTGATTTTAGTTCCTTCAAGTGTATAATACCCTCTTTAACAGGCCCAGCAAGTCCCCACAGATTGTGCTAAGATTTAAACCTAATTACCATTCTCTTCACATTTCTCTTCACAGCTAGAAGAGAAAATCAGAGCAAATAAAGGACATTTCAAGAGGGAGGGAAGTGCTTGCTTTCACAAGGACTTATGAGCTGCTTCTACAAGGTCTAAGGGTCCAGAGGTGTCTTGAATACCAAAATCCCTAAGGGGCTCTCATCCACATTTTTTTTATTAAGAAATATTTTATTCATTCCACATACCAACCACAGATCGCCCCCTTCCCTCCCCAGACCACCCCCCCATCCCCTCCTCCAAAAAGGTATGGCCTCCCATGGGGAGTCAGCAAAGCATGGTACATTCAGTTGAGGCAGGTCTAAGCCCCTCCCCCTGCATCAAGGCTGTGTAAGATGTCCCACCATAGGCAATGGGCTCCAAAAAGCCAGTTCATGCACCAGGGATACATCCTATTTCTACTGTCAGGGGACCCTCAAATAGACCAAGCTACACAACTGTCTTGCCTATGCAGAGGTCCCAGTCCAGTCCTATGCAGGCTCCACAGCTGTCGTCCAAAATTCGTGAGTTCCCACTAGCTTGGTTCAGTTGTCTCTGTAGGTTTCCCCATCATGGTCTTGAAGCCCCTTGCTCATATAATCCCTCTTCCTTCTCTTCGACTGGACTCCTGGAGCTCGGCTTGGTGCTTGGCTGTGGCTCTCTGCATCTGTTTCCATCAGTTACTGGATGATAGCTCTATGATGACAGGATATTCACCAATCTGGATTACCAGGGTAGGCCAGCTCAGGCACCTCATCCACATTTTAAGGCTTCAGGTTTTCCTAGTGAGAGCCTTGATTACATAGCAGAGACTAGGCTGAGCATTCAAATATCTTTAGATAGAGCTCCATGACCCCCAAATCCCATGTCTACCCTTAAACTGCAAGAAATAAGTTGAGCTCAAGACTATCCCTTGGGACCTAGATTTAGCCTCTGAAATACCCTGAATATCTCAATTGCAGTCTCTAAGTATTTCCTCCATATTTTTCAGGTGCCTGAATTTTTGCACAGGCAACATGGTTCCCCTCCTTTAGAATATTTGTAGCCCAATAGCTGGTGATCAGCATCAGAATGGCCACATTGTGCCAGAGACTACATAAAACCATTTCCAAATCCAATCCTACTGCTTGTTTTCTTAACTTAGTTAATATCACCTGTGATGGCTATTCTTGGTTGTCAACTTGATTACATCTGGAACAAAAACCCAACCAGCTGGGTAGTACATGTGGTGGTCTGAATGAAAATGGACCCCACAGGCTCATAGGGAGTGGCACTATCTGAAAGGATTAGGTGTGGCCATGTTAAGAGGAAGTGTGTCAGTGGGGGTGGGCTTAGGGGTTTTATAAGTTCAAGCTAGGCCCAGTGGCTTAGTCTCCCAGCTGCCTGTGTATCCAGATGTACAACTCTCAGCTACCTCTCCGGCACCATGTCTGCCTGTGCACTGCCATGCTTCCTGCCATGATGAAAATGGACTGAATCTCTGAACTATAAGCCAGCCCCAATTAAATGTTTTCCCCTATAAGAGTTGTGGTCATGGTGCCTTTTCACAGCAATAAAATCCTAAGACAGTATACGTAGGTACAGAGGGATTTTTTTCTTAATTAAACATTTGAAGTGGGAAGACCGACATTTAATCTAGATCTTTTGAGGTGTGAAGATTCACCTTTAATCTGGGCCACACCTGCTGGTAGCCTATGTAAAGGACATAGAAGAAGGAAGGTTGCTTTTTTTGCCTCCATGTTCCTGCTCTTGCTTTCACTGACAAGTCCAGTCCTTCTCTGGACCCTACTTCTTTGTGATTCTGGCATATATGGAAGACCAGCTGAGACATCCAGCCTTGTGGACTTGAACTACTAGATTCTTAGACCTTCCATTGGTATATAGCCATTATGGGACTAGCTGGCCCACACTCTGTAAGCGCATGCGCACGTATATATGTGTGTGTGTGTGTGTGTGTGTGTGTGTGTGTGTGTGTGTGTGTGTGTGTGTGTGTAAACCCCCCCTTCCCATCAGTTATGTTTCTCTAGAGAATCCTGACCTTTGTCAGTTTTGGTCCTCAGAGAAGCAAAAGGGATTACAGTTAGCTTCCATATTTGAGTTTTGCATACATGCATTTGACCAACCTATTTTTTTTTTAAATCCAAAAATGCCTGTCAGGCAGGGGAGATGTCTCTGTGGGTAAAAGTGCTTGCCACCAGGACGGACAACCTGAGCTCCATTTCCAGGACCCACGTGATGAAAGAAGGACATGTTGTGGCAAAGCCCCTCCCCTTACCAAATAAATAAATGTCATTTTTTTTAAAAGCCTTTATGGCACTGATGTTTCAGCAGTTAAGAACTCTTGCAGCGGACCAGCATTCAGTACCCAGAACCCACATCAGGCTGCTCACACCTGTCTATAACTTCAGTTACATGGTATCCAACACCTTCAGGTTCTCTAAGGATACCTGAACTCATATGCACACATCCACACACATTCATGCACATAATGGTTAAAAATCTTTTAAAAAGGCCTTTATGTTAAACACATATTTTTGTTCATTATTCATCCTCTAAACAATCCAGTATAACAAGTAGCATTTGTATTAAAATAGGTATTATAATCCAGAGATGATGAAAATTATTCTACAGGACCTGATAGGTTATAAGCAAAACATACACCATTTGATATAAGGGACTTCAGCATATACAGAATTTGGTATTGATATGAGTCCTGGAATCAATTATTCAAGTCACCAAGAGACTACTACACTACACACACACACACACACACACACACACACACACACACACACACGAAAAACTTTTTCTAAAATAAGATAAACCATGAAACATAAGGGAAAAGAAAAATGTTCAAAAATTATTTAATATTTCAAGATAGTGATAGTCGCATTAAACCAAGTATGTAACTCTATAGGCCACACACCAAAAGCGGGCCCCATTCTAGCATCACACACATGTGTGAGGGGGCTCTAATGGGGAGTGATGTAGTCAGTGTTTCCTGGAGAAAAACTCAACAGCAGGAAGCAGGCGCTGGAGACCTTGCATTGCCAAAGTTTCTCTGTCCTTTCATTTATTTTTTTATGTATAAAGGTATTACTTATAAAAAAACAAAGGACATCGGGGCTCGGTTGGACTAGAACTTTTTAGGGTAGATCTCTGATGCTGTCTTGAAAAAGACTGTTAGAGAAGACGTGGTTATGGTGCAGTGCTTTCAGACTAGAGCATGCATTGGGCTCTGCACTGTAGATTCCTGCTCTAGCCTTCTGTCCCCGCATCTCTAAGTATTAACGGAGCCAAAAACACTACAGAAAATGCTCTGGGAACCCTGATACTCCCTGTCATAAAGGCTAAATGGACTTCCAGAATCTGTCCAGTGGTTTTGCTAAGGCCTTTCTCCTGAGGAATGGGCAATCGAAAGATGCTTAGAAATAACCCTGGGAGTGGCCTCTAACATGGGGGGGGGGGGGGAGGCCTACGGAAAGCTTTCAATGGCCTTTCCAAAATAAATATTTTCCCCAGCTCAATGTACATTTTGTCCATATAAGTCACAGCAATGCCCAGCACACATGGATAACAACTGAAGTCCCGCTATATACCGTAGGCTGGCCCGGACCTCTCAGACCCTCGTGTCTCAGCGTTCCCAAGTGCAGTCGTTACAGGCAGGTAGAACGCCAGGCTATATATTGAGAAAAGCAATTATAAATCAAATTTTGAAATTATTTTTAATCAAGCGCCTACTGTACACAAGATCCACCTTTCAGCGTACTGAAGTGTTCACACCTAACTAATCTCGTCAAGTGTGGTGATGACTACAACTCCCAAAATACACCGCGGGGTCAACATGTGCACTTATCCCACGTTTTTCAGGTCAGAGCCGAGAGGCGGCCGAGCTGAAGGGCCCTATCAAGAACGGAGAGGCGGCTAGAACCACACGATGAGCCGCGAGCGTCGCACCCGAGGGGCGGCGGCTGCACCCGCGCGGGCCTCGCCTCCAGCTCCGCATCTTCCTGACGCGCAAACCCAGCCTCTCAATGGCCGGCTCTCGAGACCGGCGGTAGAACGCTTCTGTGGAGCGCCAGTCGCCTGCTGCTCACGGTGGCCCTGGGACACTGTGTGTGGGTGAAGGGGCCGAGCACTCGGACTTCTCAGCCTGCCGCTGCTCTTTCCTTAGAGCAAGCCGGAGCCGACAACCCGCCACGTGCCCACCACCCACCCTACAAATCCCCAAGAACAACTCAGCAACGCCACCGCTCCAGCCACCGTCTACAGAAAACCTCGCGAGAACTCCCCGCCCAGCTGAGATTCCCGAGCCAGGAGGCGGGCCGAAAGAAGAGGAAGTCCCTCCTGGGCCTGCTCGCCTCCGTCGCGTAGTTCTCGCGAGAGCGCCAGTTTGGCTTTCCGGAAGTGTGTTCGGAGGTAGAGGTGCTGTGCTTTGGACTCGTCGGCCACCGTAGCCCCTGCTAGGACAGCCCGTGCGAACCTGCTGGAAGAGGAAGAGAAAGGCAGAGAGAGTCGGGTTACAAGATGGCGGATCTGTAGTAGTTACCGCGGCGGGCGGCGGCAGCGAGAGAGCGAGCGTGTTCTGGGGAGCAAAGGGAAGGCACGGAGGTTGTGCGCAGGGGTGAAGGGAGGGGAACGGCGGGCACGAGCGGAGGGCGCTCGATGGCTCCTGTCACTGCTTCTCGCGGCTAGACCTTTGGAGCCATGGTAAACTCGGGCCTCTCCAGAGCCGCCGCCGCCGGCGGCTCTCAGGAGTGAGGGGTACCGGCGAGGTAGCGAGGAGGCGGCGGCTGGAGCGGGGGCCAGCAGCCACCATGTCGGACACACGGCGGCGAGTGAAGGTCTATACGCTGAACGAAGACCGGCAATGGGACGACCGAGGCACCGGGCACGTCTCCTCCACGTACGTCGAGGAGCTCAAGGGGATGTCGCTGCTGGTTCGCGCCGAGTCCGACGGTAAGGTTACTGGAACGCTGCAGTAGAGGAGAGTGCCTTCGGCTGCGGCAAGCCTGCGGGCCAGCGCTGGCTCGGGACAGCGCACTGGTCTTGAGCCTGCCCTTCTCTACGATAAAAACAAACTGCTGGGCCAGGACTTACTCTCCGTCAGACGTGGGCTCCCAGTTCCTCCGCCTCCATCCCTATTAAGGATTTGACTCCTTCCCCTCCAATCCCTGCCTGGTTGTTGAGGTTTGGAATGGAAGAGTGGGAAGTCGGTAGGAGACCAGATAGGAATCTCGCCCGTGAGATGACACCCACTACCCGCTTTATGTACGGTCTTGTCGTTTGTGTGTCTAGTATAAAAGGGTTAGTGGAACTGTTCTGAGTGTCTTATAAACAGGTTTCAGTTGTTGCAGTCGACAAGTACTGAGGAAAACTAAAACGGACTCTTTCTTGGAGTTAGTACAGACTGTTGCCACGATTCAGACACGGGCACATACGTCTTTACTTTTTGATCCCTCCAGGTTGCCTTTATAGAAGAGTGGAAAAAGTTCCACTCTTCTGTAAAGGGTTCCACAGTCTCAGCAAGTTAGAAAACTAAAGCAGACTTTGAAGTTGTGTATGTTGATTGCAGAATTCATAGAAAGCATTTTAATATTAAAAACTGACAGCCATAATTGAAACAGCTATTATCTGTACTCAAGAACTGATATATGTAGGTAATAGAAGAACAATCTTAGATTTATTTTCGGCAATGTTGTACTAATGCAGAGTCCCTTTATTAGTCAAAGGCATTTATTTCTACACTATGAGTTTTTTTGATGCTGTTCATTGTCATAGGAGAAGGATAAGTGTAATTTGTATAGTAAGTCTCTCCAAGGCCCTTGTAATTTGTTGTGTTAGACAGGAAATGCAATGAAACAGCTTTTGTTAAAGTTAGTCTTCAAATGGTCTGTTAGGCCCAAATGGTCAGTTAGACCCTAAAAGTTTTATTTTAGTTTTCTCATAGTCTGAATATTGGTTTCACATAAATTTTTTCCCTCTAAAGACATGGAGATGGTAAATATGTAGCCTAGATCTGGGGAGAAAATATAAATTAAAATACATTTTATAGCTTCAGATGTTCAGCTAGTGAGAAGACGTGAAACATTTGTAAGATGTGTGCTATTGATGAAGGCTTTATAATTTGAGACTTACATCCTTTTTTTTTTTTTTAAACTCTTTCAGGATCTCTACTCTTGGAGTCAAAGATAAATCCAAATACTGCATATCAGAAACAGCAGGCAAGTAGTTGTTAATCTTTAAATTGAAAGACTGAATCTGTCATCCCGAAGTAGTAATCTGACAAAGATGGAAATAGTTTCCATACAAGAAAAATAAAGCTTGGTAACTAAAGTTAGAGACCATGTGTATTTACCTTTCAGGTTGGTAGAGTTGAAGACTGAAAAGTAGTTTTTATATTGGCGGTTTAAAATTGTTTTTTAATTTAGCCACTGTTTGTATTAGAAAACAATGTATTCTTTGGTCTTGTTTAAAGTAAGCCAAGTCTCTGCTATATGCTCTGAACTGAAATATTTGTTCTGAATCACATTTGAAAGAAATGGCTTAAAAGAAGGTTCAAACTCCTCAGTTACCACCATTAAGAAAAAAATTCAACCGTGGTAGGGCATACCTTTAATCCCACCACTTGGGAGGCAGAGGCAGGTAGATCTCTGAATTCGAAAACAGCCTGGTCTACAAAGCAAGTTCCAGGACAGCCAGGGCTACATAGAAAAACCAAAATTAGGAGCTAGAGAGATGGCTCAGTGGTTAAGAGCACTGACTGCTCTTCCAGAGGTCCCAGGTTCAATTCCCAGCACCCACATGGCAGCTCACACCTGTCTGTAACTCCAGTTCCGGGGGACCTGACACCCTCACACAGACGTACATGCAGGGAAAGCACCAATGCACATAAAATAAAAAAGAAAAAGAAAGAAAAACCAAAATCAAAGGGGGATACTTTTAAAGCAAGGAAAGCCTGTGTGTGGTGTGAAATTGGAGCCTATTAAGTTTTTTTTAAGTAGCGTTTAAGTTCTGCTTTAAATTGTATGTGTATTTTTTAATAAATTAATTGATACTCTATAAATATACTGGTAATTAATGTAACTTTTAATATTATTTATCACTTTGGAAAAGGAAATCTGTGTTGTTTTAGTTTTCCTAATTAGTTAACATGAAGATGATAGCACTGAGTCATCCTTTATTTGTGAATGTTTTCATTTTTATTATGAAATATCAAAATTGAATAGTGTAGAGAGTAATATAATGGGCTCTGTTGTAGCACCATCAGATTTACCAATATTAACATATTATATCCTTTTCAGTCTTTTTGTAATATTTAATATGAGTAGAGGTAAAAAAAAAATCTTTGGGCCGGGCGGTGGTGGCGCACGCCTTTAATCCCAGCACTCGGGAGGCAGAGCCAGGCGGATCTCTGTGAGTTCGAGGCCAGCCTGGGCTACCAAGTGAGTTCCAGGAGAGGCGCAAAGCTACAGAGAAACCCTGTCTCGAAAAACCAAAAAAAAAAAAAAAAAAAAAATCTTTGTATCTATCTCATTTTATCCATTCTCTATTCCCCCTGTGGTAACTCTGTACTAAAATTGCTGTGTATTCTTTCCATACATGCTTTTATACCTTTCCTGCATATGTCTTTTGTGTGTTTTTAAATTTTTACACTATTGATACCATACTTCTACATGTATTCTGAAATTTGTATTTTCACACTTTTTGGAAGATTTGTGTTATTGTAGGTAGATTTTAAAAATGCTGTATTATATTCTGATGAATTGATATATATCAATGAGACATTTGGATTATTTCCTCTCTGTGTGCGTGTGGTATGTAAAGTCACAATGACAGACTTTGTAAGGAAAAGAGAAATTATTTTAGGTTTATAATTATAGCATCAACTCTACCTTCAAGGTCTATGAAAATTTGGATGCTATAAACACTTCACATAAGAAATAAAATTACATTTATTGCAAAGCTTATTAATAGTAAAAATTTTAATGTAAATAATTATGCATGCAGTACATTCTTAGTTCCTTGAAATATTTTAGTATTCAACTGGTAGCTTTTTTTCCTCTTAGACAATTTTATATGTGTCTTTCTTTTGGTGAATAATTCAATTAAAACATTTGTCTTGAATATTTGAATGTTTCTCTGTATCTTAGATATGTTTAAGGAAATTTAAATAAATGTGATTTCTAACTCAACTAGGCTGATAGTTAGTTATCTGTGTTTGCATGGAGTTTTAGCTACTTGTGAGCTTTTGCTTGTTTGTGGAGAAGTATTAATATTTTGCCATCTTTCTCCTACCTATATGAATATAAAATGATAAGGACATTGCTAAGTGTGACTCCTAAGTCATGAACAGTTCCCTACACATTTAGTTGTAATAACAATTCTTAACTTGTGTAAGTGATCTTTTAGCTACTATTACTATTGAAAAGATCATATTAGCCAGATGGCGGTGGCGCACGCCTTTAATCCCAGCACTCAGGAGGCAGAGCCAGGTGGATCTCTGAGTTCGAGACCAGCCTGGTCTATAGAGCGAGATCCAGGACAGGCACCGAAATTATACAGAGAAACCTTGTCTCGAAGAGGAAAAAAGAAAAGAAAAGAAAAGAAAAGATCATATTTATAAAACAGTTCTCTATCACTTAAAAAATGTGCAATGGTTCTTTTAATACTTAAGAATTTTGAAGCATACTTTCATGTATAATGTTACTA